TCCCTCCTCCGGCCCGCCGGGGTCGCAGTCACACCTACGGAGTCCCTCTACCCCCGCGCTGCCTTCAGCGTGGCCAAGAGGTTCCTCCACGCTCCACTGACACGCTGGTTCCGGGCTTCAAGCAATGCCAAGAAGTGACAAGTCTAGCCTAACTGTGTCGCAGGATAAACCTAGGATAGGCTTAGGATAAACAGGATAGCCTAACTGAGGTCACAGGGTAAACCTCTAGAATGAGAAACCACGCGACACTGAGTATAATTAAACAAATCCCAATGTGAATATAATAAAAGTGAAACCAATTAAAACTGTTTTTTTTTTTTAGAAAAAAAAAAAAAAAAGGGACTTTTAACAACTTTTCCTATGGAGACAATCCTTCGGACTGCTGTTTCACCCAGCAGCACCTCCCACAGGTCCCGTAAGGACTACCTCTTTGGCCAGTGGTACCTGGAGCCCCTGCAAAAGACAGTTACAGAAAGACTTTAACTCCTGCTCCAAATTCACTCAGGACCAAAAACCTGCGCTAGGTGTCCACAATTCCGTCGAGAAAGGGCCGTCATGGGTCACAGCCTCACTCCCCCCAGTGCTGCCCTCAGCCCATGTTGCTCGCTTACGACTGAACAATACACAAGGGTGAAGCAGCCACTCAGAAGATGAGTATTGGGCAGCATCCTCCCGAGCAAGGCAGAGTCTCTCCGCCTCTACCGTCGTGTTAAAGCGACTCCCACGTCTCCACACACACCTCTACCTCAGCATTTCAAACCTTCCACCCAGAATTCTTTGGTTGCATTAATCCGGGCTTTTCTTCCCTCTGAACTGTTGTCAAGTGATGCAACCTCCTCCCATGACACCCATGTTAAGCTCCCAGGGCAGCAGAGGACAATGATCTGCCCATAGCTGCGGGCCATGGGCGGGAAAACACTGTGGGGTGAGGAGAGCAGGCCGCCAACACACCTGTCCGCTTTCCGCGCCAGGTAGGACATGCTTCGGTTTCCGGATTGTTGAAATTTGTTAGCTCCAGCAGGTTTCTGCACAGGAAAAAAAAACAACAAACCACACCACCAGTGAGGTACCTGCCAAATACAGCGTATTCCACAGATTCAGGTCCCGCCAACTGCGAGATCACTGCTCGCACACCGCGGTTTTAGCATTTCTTTAGGGGCACTGAGCGCATCCCAGCAATGGTCTAACCCTGACACCTGAGCACAATACCCCACTGACGACAAATCTCGCCCATCTAGAAGGAAAGGGTGCCCTGAATTCCCCCCTCAGTTTCTTTTTTCCTCCTGAACCAAGTTTCAACTGACACAGCGGAGCGATTGCCGAGGAAAGTGTTTCCTGCACTCTCAGGCAGAAACTCGTTCAGCTTCTACAAGACGCGATTTCTAACGACGAAGACGCTCGCTGGTACCACCTGCCCTCCAGTTAAACAGGAAGGCAGCACGCACGGGAAGGGCTGAAGTGCGAGAAATGAGCTTCACAATTCAAAATTAACACTGAGCACCCAGCGAGTTCACGCGTGGGCAGCCCGTGACTTCACGCCTGAATGGCCAGTGACGTCACGCATGGGCACCCAAACACTCCACACGTGAGCCCTCTGCAGGGTATCCCTGCGGGGTTTTGGTGACCCAGGTCTGCAGGGGTGACCCGGAACTGTGCTGGTCCCAGGTTTCCCTGAAGTACGTGTCTGACTGTTTTCTTTCTTCAGTCTCTCAATTAGCCATAGACTAAGTACAATTCTCTGAGCCGACTGTTTTCCTAATGACAGTACTCATTGGAGGATGTGGGCAACACACAGACCCGATGTGGCCTGGAATAACAGGACTGACTCTGGGATTTCTGAGAAGGCGCTGAATTTGGCAGCGGGAATTTGCGTTGTTGTGCTGTGGCCTAATTGTCAGGGCAGTGCTGTATGGAGGGGTAGGCGTAAGCCATGGCTGAAGAAGTGGGAACCAACGAGAGTCAGAGGGGCTCCAAGAAATCGCTTCCCGCACGGGAAGAGGCTTGTCACAAAGCACGAGCTTGTGACTGGGAGCTGCAGCACCTCAGTGCCAAGGGCTGTTGGGGAACATTTTGCAGATTCATCTGCCTTCCCCAGCGAGTCCCCGCCTGGGTACGTGCTACTGTCAACGTTTCTGCTCCTTCTTTCGTGACACGCCCATACCTTGCCTGAGTAGGCTTGCCTGGCAGGATCAAACTGGGGGGGCTGCTGCCATCTGCTGCTTCCTAAGGGAGAGAGGAGAGACACTGTCACTAAAACTTTCCATAAAGAACAGTACGTTCCACGGTGCTCCTCTGATGGTGAGGAGGCTTCACCGCAGTCTCCCACACGCTAAAAACCAGAAGAGTCTTGTAAGGGCAGGAGATGCTTTTGAACAGGTACTTGTTACAGCGGAGTCCAATCTCCTCTGCCTCCTAGTTCCTGGGGTCCAATTATTTTTTTAGAGAAAAGAAGCAAAATCCAAATCCACAATCTCCTTGGCCAAAGGTTCCAGGATTTTGTTTCCAAATCGGAAAAGGAATGCTAAACTTGGGGATGCTCCCCAAGTGAACTTCTTCTAGGGTTCCCGCGCTGTCAGGTAAGTGCACTGTAACAGCCTGTGCTGTCTTGACACCTACATTCACACACAGCCCTCTCGGGGCTCAGCTGGCAGCATTTTCCACAGCCTGCAGCGCTCCTGCTGGAGACCCAGGTCTTACCCGCAAACACGTTGAAGTTGGACTGGCTGTAATCAAAGGGGGTGAACTGCGTTGGTGCTTCCGGCTCCTCCGGTTGCTGGGAGGTTTTTGGCCGTTTCTCCTCGTGTTCTGGCAACTCTGTTCCCACTTCACTTACTGCTCTCTCTCTCTTCGCACTAGCTTGTTCCTGCTGTGAAAGCAACATACAGGACAGAAACAAGGACAAGTTCAGGAGAGGAACTGCCCAAAGGACCTGGGCCCCAGTGACAGCTATCGCCTGCGGCAGTAACAGTGTGGGGAGAAAGCATCGTGTTCTTCTCTGGGCCTAAACGGCTTTTTCTCCCCCCTCACAGCAGGGACTTCTCAGATGAAAAGCCAAGTTGTCGTTTCACAGGTATTAGAGGCTGAGATGTGCTGTGGCCCCACAACAGATTCAGGGGAACGCGGGGTAGTGAGGAGCAGAGATGCAACAGGACAACATTCCCTGCTGAAGATACGGAGGGACGCACAGCACGGCTGCTACACACAGGCCAGAACCCCAGAACGATGCTATCAAAAGGCTGTCATCCAGGTATGTCGGTTACAGGGCTTAGGGTTTCACTCTGAACTATGTTATAAAGGTCAAAAGGGGTGAGGGCTGGAAGGAGGGAATTCAACGACATACCATAGCTTGCTGACGAACTGACAAAATATTTTCTGTGGCCTCTTTATACACTTTCTGTGCCTGGTCACGGGCAGCTATGGAAACAAAACAGCATTACTGTGAAAAGCAGGAGTCAGTTAACCAGGAGCTTAGAAAAAGCCAGCAAACCAGCTTGTAGCGAGTCTCAAACTAAACCCTGAACAATCTTTGTCAAACCATCTCGTCCACCAGGAAATCCATTGCCTAAGCTTTTCTTCTAACTGGGAAACAAGCTAGGTGCACTGGGAAAAGGATGCTAGCCAGCACGTCGAGGGAGGGAAGAAAAGCTGTACCTGACTGCTGGGCTGCTTTCCTTTTGATTTCTTCCTTGGACTCCTGCACTTGTGTCTGGCCCATCAACTTCCACTGATTGCTGATCTGCAGTGAAACAAAACTACCTGGGATCTCCGTTTTTGAAGTACTGGCAGAAGGGAGTTTATAAACTTGCTGCCACATGCTGGTCTTTATTAAGAGTACAAAAGATCGTATTGGATTGTAAAAGAGATTAAGATCTGCTGCACCAAGTAAAGTAAAACCATGTGCTTTAAAAGTTCTGAGCTACAAACAAGCCGTGAGAACAAAGGCAGATGCAGAGTTCAGTAGTAGTTTGTAGCTTTGACAGACAGGGAATGTCTCCAATCCCTGGTTCTTCGGAGGACACAAATGCTACAGAAGCAATGAACTACAGATTCAGAAACATGTCAAGTTTCTCAGATCGTGTCTTCTTTTTCTCAGGAGAATCCAAGGGGGAAAAATAAATCCTGTACTGCCGGAGTTCCTAAAGGACAATTATCTACTTCTTTCTTTCGTACTACCTGGCAGGAAACCTTAGCACGAGACTTACTTCATAAATTTTTGAAGAGGGGTCGAACTTTCCGGACTGTGAGACATAGGCAGGATTCTGTTCTGAGGGGAGGTACTGCAGAGAGGAAAGAAACATTTTGCTTTAAACACAGCACATGACATTTAGCTCTTGGCTAAAATCTAATCTTTTAATCTTCCAAATCAAAAAAAGTTCGTATTTAAGAAACATTCTAAAGACAGATCACCTTTTGAAAAAGAAAACCTGCCACAGCTGTGGCCGAGAGAAACGTTAAAGAAAACCAACCAACCCACCCCCAACCACACACCAGCAAAAGTTGTTTTGATATTACTGCCTCGTAATTTGCCATTCCAAATCCAGAACAAAGCATTCTCTTGTTCTTCTGATTCATCACAAGAGTAAAATCGTCTTGCTAACTCTAGCCATAAAGTAGAGATGAAAATGTGATGCAAATTTTAAAAACCCTCAAACTTGATTTAAAAACAAACAGTGAAAGGTGTGTTTACTACACAGAAAGACAGATATCTACGAGGCACTTCCATGTGCTCTGAGAACAAGTCCATACATGTGTGCTTTGCAAGGACAACCTCCCAATTCCAGTAAAAAAGCAGCAGCTGATGTGGTACGAAGTGCTTTCAGGCATGCCTGGGAAAGCAGCCCAGAGCATCCTCTCTCTGCACTAGGTAGTTTATGAGCCCCGCTACCAATACACATTGGGAGCTCTTACCATCCTAAATGGATTTTCGAAGGACTGCATTATACGCTTAGCTTTCTGCTGGGCAGTGGTTAAAGCCTTTGCATTTCCTTCCTCTTCATCACATTCCTGAAAAAGAAAAAAAGGAAGAAATGTGAACATGAAGAGTTTTTGGATACTGCCGTTTTATGCACGTTACTTCTCCCTTCATCTGAAACTCTGGTGATGCCCGTAACCCTCCATGGAGATGTAATTTACTTGCTGGCCCCCTAACCTAGTTGTCGTGGCTCTGCTATACACTTGACAAGAAGCCAGTCCCATTTCCATGCAGGTCCCACCTTACTCTTTCTTACAGCACTTTCACCCAGTTGTACCAGAGTATGTTTTCCAGTACTTCAATAGTGACACTATCACAAACATGTTGCTTACACTGAATATGCTGCCAGTGGCACTAGCAAGACCTGTTGACTGTGGCTGAACATCCTGAATATCCACTGTCCTCTCACTGTCTGAAGGTGCAGGCTCTACAAGAAAAAAAGGCAAAATTTTTATTAGATACTTGTGTATTTTACTGCTCTTGTGTAATGAGTTTTCACTGGAAGCTTTTTTCAGGGCTGCTTATTCTCCCTTGCCAAAGTCACATCATGTCATTATTAGCACAGGTTTTAGGTTAACTCCAAATTACCCAAGGCAGAGTTGTCCTGAACATCATCCATAGGAATCCGGGAGCTGTCATGTGGTCTGAAGAAGGGATTCTCCAGCCTCTGCAGAGAGATTCAAATTACACCACCATTAATACACTACTCTCTGAAGCTGTGTATGTTTTCACGTAGTGCAGAGACACATTAATGACAATTCAAATAAAAGGGTGAAATTCAGAGACTGAATATTCTTAACACAGCTCACCTACCAGACCACACTGCATCTGGCATCAAAAGGGGATCTGTGCAAACACCCACCGGCGATGCTTTACTTTATACGCACGAGGAGAGTAAACACATCAGCCTTAGACACTCCTCCGATTCCTCCCTTCTTACAGATCAGTCAACAGAGACTAACACGCATGAAACTCTCCAGCAGTTAGTGCCTGCTGATGAAGCCTTAAGTGCTGCTATCACAGTGCTTTGTAAAATAGCAATTTACAGCCGGTGATGTTATGAGACTGGCACAGACAAGTAACATTAAGCTAAAGCAGAGAGGCCTGTAAAATGGGCAGGAATAAACAATTCACCAGAAGCCAGAATTTGGCTACATCTGTTACTGAGTTTCAGGCTGAAGATCTTAGGTTCCAAATATTATGCGAACAGTACCTCAGGGGTGGACAGAGGGGGTCTCTTCCTGACTGCCGAAGCAACCTCCAACTGGAATGGGAAAGAGAAAGAGAAGGCAGATAAAATGCACCTGCCCCATTTCTTGTAGGCTGGCCTCCTTACCAACGCTTTCAATGCATTTATTAAAAGCCAGCAGGTTAACAGCATTACTTTCTTCTTCTCCTGCAGTGGATATATTTAAACACCTCACACAGAAAGGACATGTTCCTGCTCACAAATGGGTTTGTTTCACTGAAGGAGGAATATCATAGATATTAACATGCTGAAGATATTTTACCTAACGAACCTCTTAGACTGCAGGTTCTTGTGGCTTTGCTATAGCTGAAAAGTATTTATGAATTCATTTACATGGCCAGCAGATTCCACAGGGTCCAGTTCTTCACGCAGGCACACATAATGTGCAACGTAAGCCAGACAACTGCACCCTGTTCTTTTAGTGCTCTGCTTCCCCAGGAAATCAGAGTGTGTAATAAGCCAGTACAGAGCAGACAAGAGACAGGAAAGAAGCAGTGATTATCTTTCAGCTCTATACGACAGAACACTATGTTCAGTGTTCAAACTTCAGCACACACATCACCACCATCTAGCTCCAGCCCCTGGCTTATGGAAAGCAAGTGATGAGTCTCTTGTGGTACGAGCTACTCCTACCTTGAGAAAAGGCTTCTCCCGGGCCTGCTGAATGAGAAGATGCAATTCATTAATCTGCTGGCGAACCAGCGGTGGAACTGGATTACAGCAAGCAATGATGCCCTGGGGTTCCCTAAAGAGAGAGGAGAAGAATTCAGCGTGCAGTATTTATGGCGATATGTCCGGCATTTGCCTTCAAAGGACGTGCAACCAGAGACGACGACAGCCCTGCCTGTGACAGAGTAAGACAAGTCACATTCATCTGCCAGGGTTTATTCTCTGTGACGAAGAGCTCTCTGTACTAGGCTGTGCAGATAAGGAGACACCATTAACGTGGCTCCCCTCTCACTTATCTTTCTATGGTCTGTCTGTGTCCATCTTCATTTCACTCCTTGTTCAGTGTTCACCTACGGAGGTTGAGCCCAGCAGCAGACTTGCGTTTCAAGACACATTTTTATTTCCCTCAAGTATGGGTGTTAGGTGATGAGCACCAAATGTTTGAGGCATACGTTGTATAAATCGGGTGTTTGAGGGCATCTGCCTTTCACTTCCCCCAGCCCCACCAATCCCTTTAGGAACTGAAAAAAAACCCAATAAACAACATGCAGGAACTCATCCCTCTCTTGCGCTGTAATACTGTAGGCATCCCAGGGGGGCCACGTGACACACAGCAATGCAAAGGCACGTGTTTTATTAGCGGAATAAAATCAGAGAGAGATGTATCCCAGCAGTCTGGAGGCTCCTGAAGGAGTATTGCTGCTTATTTCTCCTCCAAACTGAAGAACAGCAGAGAAAAGCAGTGTTGACAGCTGGAAGGAAGGGACCAACTGCAGAAGGAATTACACACCAGGAAACGACTTGCTGGATATTAAAACCCAATGAGACTCCCCAAGGGTGAACAAAACTTACTTGGGCAGCTTCTCTGCTATCTTCAATAGCATATGATTTGGCAGCACATATCTACAACACAGAGAGGCGGTGTGAATGGAACAGCATGTCAAAAACTCTCAAAAATACCTTCAAAGTGCACAAGTCTGCCCCAATTACAAGGTCTGAAAAGATGAAATCAGTTCAAAAGAAATTAAGCGGGGCTGATCTAGGTACCCGTAACAATTTACGGCTAACGGAACGCGAGTTGTGTGTAAAAAGCAGCCTGAGGTAGAACACTAATTTCTACAGGTAACAGTGGCTCCACCTCAGCGAGGTGAAGGGGGGCACAAGCCAAGAGCCTCAATGAAGTATTAAGCCAGTGTCTGTAACAAAAGACTTCCTACCCCGTACTTTCATCCTCCTGACGCGCCACCTTGTCTCTCCACGCAAACAGCAACCTAAATGCTGCTAGCTGCTGCGTGTTGAGATGTACTCTCTGTCTCCTGTAGAGCTCAAGGTAGGATTCATCTGAAAAGAGGGGCTTGATGTATTTCTGGATGGGAAAAAAAGAAACACTCGTGATCAGTATCAGATTTGGGATTTCTAGTTTGCTTTGCTTCACAGGCAGAATCTCACACAGGCATAAGGGCACTGACTCAACTCAGGTTCAACGTGTCTTGAAGCTTTTACTCTAAATTATTGGCAGGAGCCTATCCCTGAAAAACATACATTTCATTCATTTTTAGGGGAAAACCACCGTCACCAAGCCCAGGAGCAGCTTTAGACACACAGCATCCTCACGCTTTACTATGTTAGACAAGGCCTACTTGCACAGTGTGTTCCACAAGCACAGTATCATTATCTTGTAGCGCAACTCCAGCCAGGCTTTGAGCTTCTAGGAACGTCCACAGGAGAACTGGAAATGTAACCTCTTGTGGGAAGCACACACCTGAAAGCACTGGGCAGCCAAGGAGTGCCAGCATTCAAAAAATGAGAAGAGGGCATCTGAAGGTAAGGATTTGAACTAGTGACAAGTGACTGCACACAACTGACTCTGAGTTTATACAGCTGCTTCCAGACACACACAGAGGAAAAATGCCTGTGTCTATGCAACAGATGTAGGATTGGCAAAGGACTGTCCATCCTACTAAGCCTATACTCTGAGTCAGGTAATCCAAGCAGGTTAAGCTTTACCTTCAGGCAGATCTGCTTGCTGCGTTGCCACACGACCCGCAGCTGAGTGGGCTGCTCGTTCCCTGTCTCCCACAGCGCCTCCCTCACTTTATCATAGATGTAGAGCAAGTAGTGAGTGTCGCCACGGGCATACCGAACCATTTCTTCTGGCAAAGGGCTAGAAAAAGAGCCAAAATTATACTAATGCATTTCACTCTGTCCGCCAAACTGTCACTTTCCTCTTGCAAGGTGTATCAGGGCAAACTGCATGTGAAACACTCAGAGAGGGAAATCCTTCTGTTTCCTTACTGAAGCATTTGCTGGGCAACTGCAGTAACGTGCTGCACACTCTAATTCAGAGGGCATCTGGCTCACGTGCTGGAGAGCAGGACTGCCACGTAGCCACGTCAGATGGCAGAACGGCTTGCTACGGTGTTGGTCATAGCTCTTCTCTCCGCAGAGCCTACGTGAAGCAGACCTGGGATCTCTGTGGTGTGCAGGGTCCATCTGCATAGCCACGCTCATTGCTCCAACAGCACGCTGCTCTACCTAGTGTGGGCGACTGAATGTTTTTGGGGGGGTCTAGAGGAGCAAATACTGACTTTCTCCACAGTACTGCAGCAGTGCTTAAGTGCTGTTCCTAAGAAGTGAGCTTTCAGAAGCTTTTCATTACTTTATCTTCCCAAAGGAACCAATTTTCTAACGAAACACCAAAAACCGTAACACTCCAAAGAACTTATGGCACAGCCAGGTAAATGCTGTGCTCGTTCACTTTGAGACTAAGGCACAACTACGGGGCTTGCAACTAGAAACACACTCCTGCTCTAAGAATACGAACAAGGCTAAGTGCTACCTTGCAGCTCCAGCCCATTCAAGGCGTCAGTTTTTACCGTATCCTCCAGTCAGCCAGCTGGTACTGCTTGTCAGCACTTAGACTGCAATACAACTTTAGCAAGTGGTCCAAAGAATGCCTGCCGAGATTGAGGAGACGAGCAGCTTGGTGAGTATCAAACATATTCACCAAGTACAGACCAAAGTCTTTTTGCAGCCATTCCACATCTGAATCAGCACCATGAAGGACCTTGAAAAACAAAACAAATTGAGAATGATGTGAAAAACATTTCTACTTCAGGCTGGCAGTGCTGAGGTTTCACATTCCTGTGTCTAAGACCACATTTCTTTTCTCTCTGTCCTTCACTGTTAAGTGCAAACTACTACATGAATGCACATGGTGAGTAACTCCTCACTTGCATCAAGGAAACAGGCACATGAACAAATTACAATGAAAGCAGAGCCAAGTGACCTAGACAGAGCACACAGTGTGCTTTTAACTATAATAAAGCTTAAACTAAGGAATCAGGAAAGAAAAAGGAATTCTGGTGGTGAAGTGGTGACTTTGGCAGCTGACCTTCACAATTGCAGGGTCTGTGAAGGTCTCGTTGAGAATGTACATGTCGCTGCGCAATTCCAGTGTATCAATAATGAAGTCTTCTGTCCGGGTGGAAATCTGCATCAGACATGTAAAGCCCAGGAAGCTCCTGTAGGAGTGGTGCTGAAAAACATCGGAGAGAGATGTAAGCTAGGATCCATCACAGAACTCATACTATAAAACAAACAGCACCCCACATGAAGGAAGAGTAACAGAAGACTTGTTTGGATGAGCAAGCTGTCTCTTTGCAGTCACTAACACGGCACAAAAAAACATGGGATGAACCAAAAGAAGCCCAGATTCTGTGTGAAGTGTGCAGCCAGTACTACCATTGGAAAACTTACAACATTGACAGCGTTTAAGTCAATCTTCTAGATAATGTCTGAGGGTCAGGGTCATGAACTGTCTTTTCATGTCAGAAAGTATAAAAAGCAAGAGAAAGAACAGCCCACAGAACAGCCCAGAAGAATGTAAGGGGCTCCAAGGTACCAACAGCACACGTGTAACATTTAAACAGAAAAGGCCATCTGATTACCTCTAAGTCCAGGGCAAATTCTTTACAGTTCATCAGCTTCTCATTCAGTTCTACCAGCTTGTCCAGCGTGGTGATAAAATGACAGGGTGTCTCCTTGATGGGCCTGTACATCTGGCAGAGCAAATCATTAGGTAAGTTATGTTCTGTTAGTTCCCACCCCTGACCTCCACCCTCAGTTCTGAAATTTGTCAGGTATGGTCAGCTGCAAACCTACTGCATCTGCAGTAAGTTTAAATTCATGTGGCACCAACCTGGGGTTCTGGTTTCTGGAGAAGTCGATCTGGTGGAGAAAAATGCTCTAGTTCATACTGGTAAGGGTGTGCAAATCTGTGGAAATTAGGAAGACAGGCACAGACTAAATTTCGGTCATCTTTATGAAGCCAGAGCACAGAGACTTTGAGAACTATGGCAGCTTCCCTACTGAGCAGAAATTTTGTCTCTTATTAAGCACAGATTCACAATAACTGCAGGTATCTAAAGCCAATCACACGCAAGGCAGTGTGTGGACATAAACACATGCAGAGGTGTTACACACGAATAGCATCAGCACAGCGGCACCATACAAGTGCACGTTCACCAATGGTACTCCAAGCACCTTGCTATCAATTTAATTTCTTACATGTCTTGCTCTGTTTGCTGTGTCCTCTCCTGGTGTACAAAATCCGACAAAGCAGCTGGGATGTCCAGGTCTTCACAGCGCTCCTTTCGCTCCCGTCCACTTTTTGTAAGTGCTGAACAACCAATATGGAACAATTGGACCAGGTCCCGCGCATAACATGTTCTCACCCTACGACTCTCTCCCCTCCACCCACCACAAGATCCTATTTAAATCACAATAAATCAAAAATCTTCGCAATTTAGAGCTGCAGCTTTTGCTGTCAGCAAGACTTCTGTCTGCACCTCTAAGATTTCTGTCTGACCTACCCTTACATTGCATGTATAAAATCAGAAGTCACAGAGCTTACTGCACCTCAACAGTCACGATCTCCTGCTGTTACTTGTTTTTACAGTCAATGATTTCTCCTCCACACTGTCATTTGATTTGTGTCAAATATTCTCAGTAGGTTACTCCCCAAAAATAACCCCCTTACCTTCTGGCAAAGGTTTCATGGCGTTAGGCTTGATAAAAAGTTTAGGAAGAAAGGGAGTGTTGGAATTGTCAACTTTTTCCTGAAACCTAAGTTGTGGACGGGAGATATTCTTGCCATGAAGCAGCCGGAAGGTTTCCGTCTGAGCTCTCCCGTGGGCTTCGCCTGCCTATTTTAAAAAGGTAAAACACAGGTAAAACTCACATGACTTAACAGACAGTTTCTTTTACTCAGCCTGACCCAATATTCAGAGGAAGAAAGTTACACCCCACTCAAAGCAAGTCACTTTTTATTTTTTGCAGCGTTTCCAGCACCTAAGAACAAAAATTCTCTGAATGAGGATCCTGGATTCACATGAATAAGCAGAAGAGAGGCTGTCGTATACATGAAATGGTAATTGAAAGCACGCAGAATCCAGAATCGTTTGAACAAACAGGAAAAAGAAAAAAGCAGGAGGGGGTTATGACGTGCAAAAAAAGGTGACAGAACATTTAACAACTCAGCTGCACTAGAAAGCCAGCAGTGCCAACGCTGGGAAGAAGGTGAAGATAACACAGCCAACTGAGCACAGAGGCCTCACCTTGCGGTTCCAGCTGGAAACAACTGTCTGCGGCGGCTGTAACCTAGCAGGGAGCACTGGCTGGTTTTGGTTCAATCCTGCTGCCTCATCCAGTAAGACACCCTAAATTCCAGAGAGAGAGAGGTGAAAACCAAACACCTGCTAAACACCACACTCAGCCCCTCTGGTCAGACCGAATAAAGTCACACAGGTACATCCACAACCACTTCCCCCAAATTCTGTGCAACACGAGACAGACAAATGTGGGAGGAATATACTGAACATGAGGGGTCAGAAGAGTTTCCTCAGAGAAGCAGCTCTACAAATTTACAGACTTGATCTCAGGTTGTAAGGTTCTTGTGCCAAGCTGTATTTAGCTTCCTCACAAGTCACCTATTAGACCTTCCTCCCTCTGGGCCATAACCCATTTGCTGCCATGCCCTGGTCTAGCACATGGAAATGGTTTTGAAATGAAAAAGAAACCCATCACACTGAGAAAACACTAAATGTAACTGTAAAAGCACTACCACTGAAATTCTTGCTAAGAAAATAAACCAAACTTGTGGGAACGGAACAGTTTATAGAATCACAGACTGGTTTG